GCACAAATCACTGCCAGTACTCACTCAACCCCAAAATACAAAAAACTCCAATCAATTCAAAACAAACAAAATAAACGAGACAAATTAAATCAAAACCATGGCAATCTGTCCCAAAAATACAAACATTAACAAAGTCAAATCACAAAGCACGCGTAAATCAATTCCTTTTCAATAATCGTTCCAAAATCACTTCAAATACACTTCATACCTGTTAGCACAGCAATATTCAATTCTGACCACTCTGGTCATTGAGGTTCTCATGGGAGTGCATCATCTACAAATATACACATGTAAACCCATACACAATATTCTCGACAAAGGTAAATCACATAAAACAAATCTAAATCATTCATAAATAACTTCAAATACAATTCATACCTGTTAACACAGCAATATTCAATTCTGCCGCTCTGGTCGCTGAGATTCTCAGGGCACACACCAAATCCTATCACAATTTATGTGGCGTTCTCACCGCATTTCATTGTTCTGTGCATCACTTAATTTGTTCCGTGTGTGTAATTGTCTAAATAGCCCATAGCTCCTCCCCCCACCCCACTTAACCAGAGCGCTCAATACTACATATATTTTTTAAATAATTACAGTCTTGCTCGAGAACTCCGGTCTGACGCACGCAGGTTCTCGCATTATTTCCTTATCACTTCTCGCGTGTGTTTTGTTGTGAAACGTAGTTTGCGGACCAGACAAAGCTGTCGGCGATTCTTCCTATTGCGAAGTCATGCAGTGTGAAACCCCCTGTCACCGATCCATTGTGCAATGTGAACACAGCAGCAACTGAATACTACCCCAGATAGTCACACAGTGTGAAAACAATGGCGATCCGATGAGTTTGAAAATCGTGCAGTGTGAACTCGGCATTACACAGAAGACAGGAGTTCCGTCTCCTCCTGGAGACTTTTCGGACAAGGACCTGTACACAAAGCAATGCAGACAAGTTCAGGCTCTTGCAAACCAGTTCTGGACCCACTGGAGCCACGAATACTTACCTTGCTTGCAACACAGACAGAAGTGGACAGTACCTCGCAGAAACCTTCAAGTGGGAGATCTAGTTCTGCTCAGGGACAAGCAGATAGCCCGCAACTGTTGGCCCATGGCCAGAATCTCTGCCGTATTTCCTGGAAAGGATGGCCATGTAAGAAAGGATGAGGTCTCAACAACTGAGCAAGGCAATATATGAACCTACCTAAGGCCAATTGCAGAAGTTGTTCTACTTCTACCCAAAGAGAGACTAAGGTTTAGCATGCTCACAAGTTCATAGTGTCCTCACATAGGTCAGGTGGGGAGTGTTACCCTTTAAGGAATTTAACTTTCAAAAATCTGCTTTAAATATTTTTTGGTAAACATTCTCATGTAAAATCGTGAAGTTCATAATTATTTTTCCTTTTTCTACCTCGTTTGTAAAAAAAAAAAAATTATTTGTTTCATGTGATGAAGTCTCTTCCTGTTAAGCCACTTCCTGTTAGTGCTCCCTGTTCTACATGAAAACAATAGGGCCTTTCACACCGCGGGAACCTTTTCATAGTACCTGAACTAATTGTGGAACTACCCACTTTTTGACATGTTCACACCACAGGAACTAGGAATGGTTTTAGTTCTAGGAACTCCGTTTGGAGGAACTAAATTAGCTCCTACTTCAGAGCAGGGTCTAAAACAGATCTATAGGAACTATCATTGACGTAAGTGTACGCTGATTGGCCAAACGCTCACGAAACACCGGCCACCAGGCATTTAAAAAAATCCATGTAAACACATTTACTCCACGAACATATAGAAAACAGCGATAACGGCATTTTCCTGTTGTCTGCAGTGTTGCGTTTTTTTCCTGAGCTTTGATGATATGTAACACTGCAAGTTGTCATAAAAAAATTTCTTAGTCCAACTTTTTTCTCTTGCAATCGCGTAAATTGTGCATTTACATCTCCATCTCCGTTACAAAAAGACATTGCTGTCGGCCGCTTCAGAGTTCCTGCTGCCAGTGCAAATTCAACCAGGAAAACGGCCTGAGGGAGAAATTGTTTCTCCAGGAACTACCCTGCTGGCTAGTTCCTAGAACTAAATTCCTAGAACTACGCAGTATGAAAGCCCCTATTGAGACAGACAGGGTGTGCTCTCTCTGATAATCCATTGCATCCACTAAAAAGCATCATAGAGGCAATGCCATTAGTTCATTTATATGACATTAGACATGTTAAAGATTACATATTATTAATGATTTTGTTAAAAGGAGATGTTTGATAAGTTGCTAAAAACGGTTGTTTACCATTGTGTACAAGCTTTCAGTGATGCTAATAGCCATTGTAATCACTACTACAAGGAGAACAGTAGTTTGTTATAGTATAGTCATTTATATGTATAGTCATTTATAATGCAGTGTTAGTCAAGACATGGACACTGAATATTGCTGCATTGTTTTATTACAGTTTTCACAACAAATGTTAATGAGGAAGAATGACAGTAAATGATCAACCATACTAAAACTCTGTCTTCATTGGCTACGGTTTAACTTGGTGTTTAGTTAGAGTTTCAACACACTGCACGAGAACACTACACATCTTACATATTTTTAACAATACAGGCATCTGACAGGAGGACAAGCCAAGTATGTTAATGATTTAGTTTGAAGCGCTTAATATAAAAAATGTATCTTGCTCAAGACAACCTGACTTGGATCATACACTTTTCCAGCAGTTGTTCATTCTTTGTTCGTTGTTATTTTCAGATGTGTTTTCAACATCAAAATATATAGATATAAACATTATTCTCACGTCCTGGGGAGAACCTCAGAGTTTCAAATTACATTCCAAAAACCTAGAGGTTTTGAACATTCTACTATAGGTAGTACTATGTGTACTTAGAGCCAATCAATCAACGTTAGCATGTCACTATCAAGCTGAAATTGCAAGGGTACTACACCTCGTCAAAAATGCATGTGTTCAACCAGTAGAATGTAAAACTTACAGGTGGTTAATCATAAGCCATTGCTATGACCTAACATCTGCCCCACCTAAATTTATGGTCAAGAGCCACTACTGGGCTCAACAATCCAAATATTTTTAAAAGAAGAAAATCAAACATACAAGTCATTGTCTGTGCAGGTCCAGTGGAACCCTTGTTTTTTAAAAACCTCTATAAGTCCAAGGATGGATCCCTGAGTGCAAGACTCCCTAGAGGGACAAAAAGCGAAGCCAGCTGTAAGATTAGTGTGTCATATAAAAACATTACTATATAATGTTCATTATCCTGCTCTTGATCTGTATTCATTGCACAGCAGTATTAAAGTGTGCCATTCACACAGCAATTGTATCATTGGAGGTCACCAGGTCACTGTACTGTAGATCACTAATAAGTGTTCCTGAATGCCCAGACATTATTGATTGATTGATTCATACTTGAAGTATAGCATATCAAATATCTAATAAAAAAAGAGATGTATTGTTTGCCAAAAATAATACTCCATTACATTTCGACAAGGATTTTTTAAAAATGATTTTTATTTTATATTATTATTATTATTTATTTTATTTTATTTATTTTTGGGGGGGAGAAAGTTTTTGTAATTAACTGCAGTGTCAGTGCATTGCATTGAAAACAAGATGAACAGGAAGAAATTTACTTACAAAAAGGGTCCCTCTAAGTTGTAGATGACTTTAATGTGTACATGAGTGACCATCCTTGGGTTTAGATTTTCCAGTTCCACACTGCCAAACATGCTGAGGAATAAATACAAGTATATACAAAAATACACACTTTATTTGTCAAACAAGAAAAAAATACGTTGTCCACAAGCTGATTAAGGTAAAATGTTAACAATGTTCTATAGTTCAAAACGGTTTTGATTTAAAAAAAAAAAAAAAAAAAGATGATGAAATGTTAGTTCTGGCAGGCCACGTTAGTCAAGCTCACATCAGCTGACTCTCAGCTGATCCCCATCAACCTATGGGAATAGACACCTATCTAAGCATTCATATATAAGATCCCTCAGTATTATCAGAAGTTTTCGCATTGCTCAATAGCTGATTAAATGGCGAATTCGGCAGGCAAAACACCATCACTAGGAATCGGGAATTTAGAGAAGTGGAATTCGCTTCCCCAATGGTCTCACCTCCAATTCATTCAAGTTCGTTAACTTGAACACGTGAATTTACTGCATTGATTAGGCCTATAAGCTGATTCGGAAGTGACTGAGTTAGCATTATTTTACGCATTGCTACATTATTGTCATGGACTCCACAAGTTATGTGACTGACTCAAGAACAAGTTCAGATGGGAACTTCATCCCCAAGAAGGATATCAAGAGATCAAGCATCCACTTCACAGCTGCTATGTTTCACTCTCTCGAACGTCTTCACAAGCTAAGTTCCATTTAATGCTCTCAGGTTATCTGCAACATGCGAGTTGCTAAGGCTATCCGTGTTGCTTGGGCTCATTAAGGGGTTTTCAGTTAAATGCTTGTGCTAGTTCATGCGAATGTGCGGTACTTATCTGTTGTCACTGGCAACACGCTTGTCGCTTCAATATGCTGTGCTTAACAGGGGTCTAATGTCATTTCATGCATTCTGAGTTATTTACACTGTTAAGAGTTGGATTCATATGCGTGTGCGTGCACTCAGCGACTCAAGCAAGAGCAAGAGCGCGCCACTCAACGCGTTTCTTTCATGGTTACGGAAGTCTTC